AGGAGTTTGGCAACCTGATCCATCGCCCACCTCTTCCCGTCTTCGAGCGCAACTTTTATAAGACGTATCTACGATTCTGATTTTGGTGGCTCGTTCACCCAGAGCATCCGGAGCTCTGTTCCGTGGAGCCTAGCAACCTCCATGAGACCGTCTGTGTTGTCTGTCTGTAACCGCAACTCAAGCAAGTTTTCCAGCCTACACCACTGCCAACTCGGTGTAAGTAAACAATCTTTTAAACTACCACTAAGCGTTTGTGCCTAATTCCAGCTCGACGGCCTTCCCTCTCCAACCCGGCGTGCCCGGGCTGCTGGCCACAGCCCGCGTGCAGCACGGAAAAGGGCTCGGGTTGCTCCCGGCCCGCACACTCAGCAGCAGGAGGCATTACCACCATCATAGGCATGATGACAGTTTAGTAGGGACTGGACATTGCCCTCATTGTTAACAAAAACATTCTCATCCTCAGTGTAGACAACCAGCTTAAATGGGGGAGCTTTCAGCCAGCTGATAGCGATTTCAGGGCAATTTACAACTATAGGCATCCTGGCTCCATGGAAACAGTAGGTACCTACTATTTTGCACGCTGGTGAAAGCTTATGAAGCTTACTCCAACGAAACTGCAATGGCTATGGAGACTGAAATTTCCTAGAGGTAAAGAGTCACCCCAGATGCAGACTCTAGTCAGTATACCAAAAACCACAAAGTAGGACAGAAGGGTAAAGCTTGGGACAGTGGAGTCATCCTGGATGTTTGTGACAATTACACCTGCAAAGGAGCACACAAAGCTGCAGGCATTAATACACAAAACAGCAGGTCCCTTTTTTATAGAAAGCAAGCTTTCCTTCTCCTCTCGCCCCCATTTCCGCTCCTTGCCCTGCAGGTTTCCTCACCCGCACCTGTCTCCCAATATTCATCTGCTATGATAGCTTCCCTCCTTTTCCTCCCTTAAAAGTTATCCTGTCCTAATTATAACTTCTATTAGCAACCCTGCCTATATTCCAGCTTTGCTCCTGCACCATATTCAATGTTTTCCTCTTACAATTTCTTGTGACGTTTTCATAAAAGACCCCAGAGAAGAGAAATGTCTTAAAAACAATCTACTGGAATTCATCCATCTTTACTTAGGCAATTAAATCCATCTTCACTTAGGCAACCTCACTTACACTTTTTAAACCTATAAGGAAATGGCAAACAGTTTAATTTAAGGTAGACTGCAGTTTCAACACAACTGAAATGGCTTGCTCATTTTAAATAAGGAAGTCACATATATGGACATCAGAATATCACGGAAAGTCTTCTGATGCCCTAAAAGTGAAAGTCAGGGTAATGTTGGGGCAACTGGCAAATCAGACTTGCATAGCTTCTTAATTACCTCTCACAGATCCTCTTCAGACAGTTCTACTGAAGGAGATAGCAATAAAACCTGTTCAGATTTACAGGACAGAAACCACATTCTACTTACATAGCTCACTGTGTCTAGAACAAATTAGTAGATTGGTCTCCAAGTAGCAAAGTAAAATCTGAAAAACTAAGTCAGTGGTTTTCAAATTGTGTTCTGTGGAAGCCTAGGATTCTGCAGTAGGTTATCAGGGGTTCCACAAAGAAATTGGGAGTAATGGAAGAGCACGTTGGAAGGCAGTGAGCTGCTATTGCTAGGCTAGGTAACCTGCCTCCACGTCAGTTCCCACAGCCTGCAGAGGCAGAAGTAGGAGCTCTGCGGCAGAAGAAGTGAAATGAAAGGGCGCTGTGACTTTAGGAAGTTTGAAAAAGACTGGACTAAATCAAGAAATGTTCCACTTGACTGTGTAACTGCAGAACATTTACTGCTTCTTATTAATTACCCAAGTCTACAAATACTGGCCCATAGCATCCATAAGTAGTTTCTGTAGTGCAGTGGTCAAACCGGTGGATTGCAATTTACCAGTCAATGGGGGAGGCCCTGACAGTCGATCTCAGTCTGGGGGGGCTAGCCCCCCAGACTGAGATCGACTGTCAGAGGCTCCGCAAGCAGGAGCGGCAGGACTCACGTGGCTGGGCTGAGCTGTGCCCCCTGCCACAGGGCCCGGCCAGGTGAGTGGGGTGATCCCCTTCCGCACCTCTTGCCACCAGGTGAGTGGGGTCCTGGCTGGGTGGGCCAGGTAAGGGTCTGAGACTGAGCAGCTTGTTCAGGAACGCGGGAGGGGCAGGGGGGGTGCTCCTGCCACTGCATGCATCCTGGCGGAGGCCCCGGTGAGTATGTGCCCCCCAATCTGTGCATGGGGCGAGGTGGCTGCTGCTACAGAATGGGCTTTGGCCTGGAGCCCTGCTGCAGGTGGCCTGGGAGTGGCCCAATGCCATGTGCATCTCACCGCCAGGCAGGCAGGAGACGAGGCTCATCCCAGCAGCGGGAGGCACATGGTGTTGAGCTGTTCCTGGGCCAGCTGCAGTGGGGCTTACGGTATGAAGACCAGCCCACAACTGCAGCCGCCTCCATTGTGCACAGATCAGGGGGCAAGTGCCCCCCACAAACACTAGGCAGCGTGGGCGGCTACAGCAGCAGCAGAAGAGGGACTGTGGCTGAAGCAGGGGCAGGCTCTGCACGGGCAGGGCACAGAGACTGGGAGTCATGCAGCCCAGGAGGGCACAAGGGACAAGTGCCCCCAGATCTGCACGCCAGCCAGGCCAGTGCCGGGCCCCTCTTGGGGAGCTCTCCCAAGCTGTGCTGCAAGCCAGTGCCTGTTTGTGCTACAGGCCCTGCCTGTGCTGCGCGCTGGACAAAAGACACCACTGCCGAGCACCGCCACTGTCGCACTGCTGCTTTATTGCTCTGAGCTGCAGGTCCTGAGCTAGGGGCAGTCTGTGTCAGCCACACAGCGCTGAGGATGGAGGCAGGACTGGAGTGGGGCAGCTGCCCAGGAACATCACCATGCAGCTCAAGGTGCCCTGCTCCAGTCCCACCTCTGTCCTCAGTGCTGCACGGCTAACAGACTGCCCTCAGCTCAGGACCAGCAGCTCAGAGCAATAAAGCAGCAGTGGAACAGCGGCGGTGCTTGCCAGTGGTGTCTTTTGCCCAGCACACTGTGCAGCCGGGCGGGGCCTGCAGCACAAACAAGCCCCAACTTGCGGTGCAGCTCAGGTGAGCTCCCTGGGAAGAGTCTGGTACCCCCCCAGCTCCAGCCCAAAGCGGCAGCTGGCCTAGCCGGCATACAGATCTGGGGGCATGTGCCCCTGTGCCATCCTAGGCTGCGTACCCACCCCAATTTGCTGCTCGCGACTATCCCACGCCCTGCCTGTGCAGGGCCTGCCCCTGCTCCAGCCACACTCCCTCTCTCACCACCATGGGGTAGGGACAGATTGAGGCCCCAGCAATGAGGGAGGAAGCGAGGCACAGGTAGGAGTAGGGGCGGGGACACACACACACCCACACACACACACGACCCAGAGCCCCCGGCCCTCCACTTGTCCCACCACCCAGCCTGGCCAGGGCCCCACTCACTGCAGCCCCTGCACCTGCCTATGCCCTGCTCCCTCCCTCACCTCTGGGGCCTCGATCTGCCCCACATATATCAGTATTAGGCACAGCTACCATCTAAGGCTTTGAACTGAAATCTTATTCCATACAACTCTCCTCTAGTAAAAACTCTAACTCTCCATCCAAGTAAATATAGTCTGTATTCAGACCATCCACCAAGAAACATGAAAAGTTGAAAATGCATAGCTGATGTACAGAAAAATAAATTGACACCACAACCACAACAGTGAAATTCAAACTTTTTTTCTCAATTGCAACTGATTATTTCTCATGCTTTACAACACACTCTACAAATGGGACTATTACAACTGTAACCTCAGCTTGTGGCATTTTGCTCAATCTACATAACAAAGATGAAAATATTTGTAATTACTTAAAATTTGAAACAGTGAATGTTTATACACATAAGAAAGTATAGAGAGTAGAAACTTGTACAAATATCTAATTTCTAAACATTAAAGCACTTACAAAAAACATTATCCCCACAAAGGTTCACATTTTACTCCCAACATCAATACACTCAACTGGAATAGCTTCTAAAAAAATGGTGGTCTAAAGGAAAAGGGGAATATAGGTTTGTGTTTTGCCCAGTATACTTATTTTTATTTAAGAACATAACAAAGCTTTTTTGTAAACTTTCAAGTCAGTCATATGGCTCTCATTGATCTTGACAATTGTTATACAATATAGAAAAATGAAAAGTTAAAAAAGCAAAGCATTACATATTTAGGAAACTGTGGCTCATAATTCAGATCCAAACTATAAACCTTAACACGTTTTACTAAAAATGTCTACATTTGCTAATGTTGCTAATTACCAACATGAGCATTCACTGTAAAACACCTTTCCAACAGGGAGTGTAAGAAATCATTCTAAATCCGTACACTTTAATAAATTACTAAATTACAAATCATAACTAGCATCCTCCTAAAACCAGAAAAATTATGTATGTTTCTATGTAAAGCCAAAATAGGGGCCAAAAACTATTAGTACAAAACTACTAATAATGAACAGCTTGGATTTCATAACTAAAAGCTGGATCAAACATTATACAAATTGTAATGAAACATTTTATTGCTCATAAATGTGACCAATATAGACTACATATATTTTGGCTGTCTCAGTTAGAACACAGCTGCTTTGTCTCTGCTTACACATTAAACAAAATGGGTAACACATGACTTCTTATATAGGTCTTTTTTGTAAATTAATATTTGCTTTATTAAAATGTTGAGATGCTTACGAATGGTAGATCAATAAATGATGAACATGACCAGCTTTAATAGGCAATTTTAAAAGTTAAATGGACCACAACTCATTTGCCACTTATTAGCTTGATTCCAAGTACAACCCCCTGCTCCAGGATATTACCTTTTACCCTAGGG